TGCTCCGATCTGCAGCGTGTCCAGGCACTCATGAGGCAGGAGATGGACCTGGGGCTGGGCAAGGAGACCAATGCCAGATCCTCTGTCCGCATGCTGCCCACCTATGTCTGTGCCACACCCGATGGCACCGGTGAGGGCCAGGGGCCTGGGGAAGGGGGGACCAAGGTGGCTGGGGCCCTGCTGATGCCCTGTGCTGGCTTCCCGCAGAGCAAGGTGAATTCTTGGCGCTGGACCTGGGGGGAACCAACTTCCGGGTGCTGGTGGTGCGTGTGGCGGAGAATAGCATCCATATGGCCAGCGAGATCTATGTCATCCCGACCTCCATCATACAGGGCACTGGTGTGGCGGTGAGGGTGAGGAACTGTGGGCACGGGGGGGGTTTTTTTTCCGTCACTGCCCACAGGCCTGAGACAGGGTGGGAGACCCCCTGCGGCATCATCCCAACCTGGGCCCTGCTGACCATGACTGCTCTCCACAGCTCTTCAACCATATCATTGAGTGCATCATGGACTTCCAGCTGAAGCAGGACCTGATGGAGCAGATCCTGCCACTTGGCTTCACCTTCTCCTTCCCCTGCCAGCAGCTGGGCTTGGATAAGGTGAGGGGATGGGTCCAGCCCCTGAGGATGGGGAGGGCCCCGGGGTGCAAGGCAGCTGCCTAGCCCCTGCTCCTACCTCTCTTGCAGGCAGTGCTGCTGAGCTGGACCAAAGGCTTCAGCGCCTCAGGCTGTGTGGGGCAGGACGTAGTCCAGCTGCTGCGGGATGCTGCCCTGCGGAAAGAGGTGGGAAAAGGCTTGGGTACAGTCCTCTGTCCCCAGGGTGCCATCCTGCACCCAAGTGGTGCCAGCCTCACGAGATGGCTGAGTGCCACTAAGGCACATATGTCCCCATCTCTGGTTTGGCAGCACTATGCACTGAAGGTGGTAGCCGTGGTCAACGACACAGTGGGAACAATGATGTCCTGTGGCTATGATGACCCTAAATGTGAAATTGGCCTCATTGTGGGTGAGGAGCACTGCTGCACCCAGGGATGTCCCATCCCCTCATCACTACCCCAGCCCATGTAGCACGGCCGTGGGGTGCCAAGCAGCTCTGCAGGGCTGTGGTGGGGGTGACACCCACATGGGGCCTGCAGGGACAGGGACCAATGCCTGCTACATGGAGGAGATGCAGAACGTGGGCACCGTGGAGGGGAATGAGGGCCGCATGTGCATCAACATGGAGTGGGGGGCCTTCGGGGACAATGGCTGCCTGGACCACATCTTCACCAACTTCGACCGCATGGTGGATGAGAAAACCATCAACCCGGGCAAGCAGAGGTGGGTGAAGGCCCCGGGGCAGAGACAGGGGGTGGCTGTGCTCAGCTAAGGCTGTGCCTCGGGTAGGTTCGAGAAGCTCATCAGTGGCATGTACCTGGGCGAGATTGTGCGCTACATCCTGCTCTCAATGGTGGAGAAACGGGTCCTGTTCCGCGGGAAGCCCTGCCCCAAGCTCCAGACCAAGGACATCTTCCAGACCAAGTTCCTCTCCACCATTGAGATGTGAGTGCTGGGCTCCGGTGGGTTCCCAGAGCCTGGGGTGGGAGGGTGTGAAGCCAGAGCCCAGGGAGAGGCGCTACACTCCGTTGATGGGGCACATGCAGGTGATGCCATCTCCTGCTTGTGGAATGGGGACAGTGATGGGGACAGTGGTGCTAACGGTGCCACTGGTCCGAGGCAGTGACGGGCTGGCCCTGAGAAAGGTACTGGCCATCCTGCGGGACCTGGAGCTTCATGCCAGCTTTGAGGACAGCGTGCTAGTGCGGGAGGTGTGCCAGACCGTGCCCCTGCGGGCAGCCCAGCTCTGCGCCGCCGGCATGGCTGCTGTGGTGGAGAAGATGCGGGAGAACCGGGGCCTGGACCAGCTGGTTGTCACCGTCGGGGTGGACGGTACCTTGTACAAGATGCACCCGCAGTGAGTGGGGCCAAAGGTGGCAGGCACCTAGTGGGGATCCTTGCCTCATGGCAGGAGTCTGGGGGGACATGGGCTGTGTGGGGT